ATGCCGCAATATCTACTTTTACCGTAACATATATTGAAGTATATCCAGTAGTATCACGGTGATGCCCACGTAGCGGCTTAACTCAATAATTTTATTCATACAAATTGCACAGATGGAGTAGTGCCACGGGTCGCAGAATGGAAACTGCGGTGAAAAATATTTAAATACGCTCGAAACTTTACATGCATATTTATGTATATCTATCTATCTGTTTTTGTTTTTGTTTTTGTCCTGTTCTAAATTTTACACGTTTTATTTTTAGCCGAGTATGAGACGTGATTTATAACACTGTATCCTCTTCAGGTCTTTAGGTCAGTAATTTTCTTCTGTGAGAATTGTGTGTGAATTATTTTTTGCGTGGATCATGGATATCGGCAAAGTTAGCGCCCCTAAGTTTTTGGGCCGAGTGTCCCACGTTGGCCAGCATTCGCTTGACAAACAGATATTTTGTCTTTGTGTTGCTTCATTTCTATATAATATGTACTTTATGATACGTATATCATCAGTCTTTGGTTCCCATAGGAGACAAACTCGATGACCACATGATATTTGTCAACGATTATTTATTTCCTTTTTTTTAAACTTCATGCTTTTTCTTTTAATTATTAGTACTTTATGGTAGGTAAATTAGTACAATTGACAAAATTAGATGTGATTTAAAATTGTATTTTAGTAAATTTTCGCAAAGACGGGACCCAGTTGCGCAAATTTCAAGATGTCTTTTGTTATTTCGAGGCATGCAAGAAATAACATTGTATTTCACTAAGACTGAGTTACAGTGTTATTCCTTGCACTTGTCAATTTGTACTGCAACAAACTGTAAACATCACTAGATTTACACGTTCAGTGAACTTGTATAACACTTCTATGTTGCGAGAATAGGTAGTAAAAATTTTTTTTTTTTGTAGACGATACCTAGCAAACTTAATATTAAAATTCAACAAATAAAACTTTTAACCGCACATCGTAAATATATATTATGTTCATATGTAATACGTACGTAACCGGTACACACATTATTTGGCACGTGTTCCTTTAACTAAATTTATACCTTTTAGTGAAGTCGTTCTTCAAACGAGGCTTGTGGAGAGTATTAAGCGGTAGGCAGCGGCTTGGCTCTGCCCCTAGCATTGCTGAAGTCCATGGGCGACGGTAACCACTCACCATCAGGTGGGCCGTATGCACGTCAGCCTACAAGGGCAATAAAAAAAAAGTTTAACCCCGGTAATGTCTAACGCTCGATACGAATACACCAGATCACTTTGCTTTAACACTATGAAAGCCAAATTCCATAAATATCTATAGCTTGATATCGAGCGCTTGTGCGAAGTAGAAGTCGCGTACTACAAGCCTATAATTATGAAATCATGTAGCGCCTTCTTTATGTAAACAACTCTTATCGTTGTCTGGATAAACAATGAGCCATTTTCACAATATCATATCGCATTAATGGCAGGTATTGTATTTGTTATATTATAGCCATTAATGTAAATAATACGTTAAGGTATTGTAGTCAACCACATAATAAATACTCTTTTAATCACGTCCTTCGTGTTAAAGGGATACCTGATATTTTATTTACCCGTCTACTCTAGACGAACGAACGGAAAAGCCGCCTCAATATTCGTAAGTAAGTAAACACGAAGAACTTCGAACGAAGTTCCGTGTAATAACTTGCATTTTGCGCTGCATAGTTTTATTGAAGTTTTTTCTTAATCGAGCTTTTGGGTATACACATTAAATATTTGAGTTTAGTCATTTAGTACTTTTAGAAACTAATATAATGGTACAAAAGAAGATTTCCTAATTGAAATGATATTGCAACTAAGAAATCGATTTTATGTTAGAAATCTTAAATCTTATCTTGTAAAGGCTTTATACAGCGTTTAATGAACAAAATAAAATCAAGGACCCAATATTATCGCTTTTAACTGAAACCCACAATATTTTTTTGTTTTTTTTTTATTGCTTAGATGGGTGGACGAGGTCACAGCCCACCTGGTGTTAAGTGGTTACTGGAGCCCATGGATATCTACAACGTAAATGCGCCACCCACCTTGAGATATAAGTTCAAAGATCTCAGTATAGTTACAACGGCTGCCCTACCCTTCAAACCGAAACGCATTACTGCTTCACGGCAGAAATAGGGGCGGTCGGTGGTACCTACCCGCGCTGACTCACTAGAGGTCCTTCCACCTTGAGAGTAATATGTATGTATTACTCTCAAAATTTTATCGCTTACAGAGTGCGTCAGGGCTCAGATAAGGGGGGTTGTTTGTTGTCTAACGAGGTCGGAAGGTGACAATGTCGTGACCGCGAAAACGGATCGTGCAAGGAACATTTTTCTCGCGTCCTCCCCTGACGTGTATACATCGCCTTCAACAATATTTATTGAAACTCCATCAACAATATTTAATGAGACTCCATTATGGTATCTTATAAACGAACCCCTTGTTATTCGTTTTCAAAGAAACTTTCCTTGCACAGAAAATTAGAAATGGTTTAGTGAACTACATTTGTGCCGTTTATAATTTTTATTCATTGTGTATTTTTTGGTTGTTTAAATGTTGGTTGCTTAATGAAACGCAACATAGAATAGTAGTACGTATTTTGTCTCTGAATCTGCTATGTCCCATTCGGCATCGTAGGCGGAGTCTCCAGGAGATTTCTCTCGTCACGTGAGCAGTTTAATAAGCCCTATCAAATATCCATGCAATCTGTTACAGGAATCGATATCGCATAAGTCTTTTTTATTATTGCTTTTTTTTATATTTTTTTATTAGATGGATGGACGAGCTCACAGCCCACCTGGTGTTAGGTGGTTACCCGAGTCCATAGACATCTACAACGTAAATGCCCACCTTGAGATATAAGTTCTAAGGTATGGTTACAACGACTGCCCCACCTTTCAAACCGAAACCCAATACTGCTTCACGGCTGAAATAGGCAAGGTGGTGGTACCTACCCGTGCGGACTCACAAGAGGTCCTACCACCTGTAAACCATGGTCGTCACGAGTCCTCAACAATTCATCACAGATAGACCGGATTGAATATTAGCGGCATCCGAATCTTCCTGAGAGTACGCCAAAGATGATAAATACACACTCCTGTGGCCTTGCTACAGGTATTGTTATGCGATATCAGGGCTAACAATACGGGAAGCTAGTGGGTTTCCAATTCCATATTACCCACAGTGCAATGGATAAAAAAAATCGCAACATTAGCTACATAAAATAAATACGTGGCTATACCCGATATCAACAATGGACTGGAAATTAATTGCAAATTGACATTGATCTAGTGATTGTGGTAAAACTTTGTCATAGAGTAAATGTTTTGATGACAGCCAGGATCAGTTAGAGAACGCGTCGCTCCAATCGCGGGCGTAAATTTGTCTCAAGCCATATGTTTCGATCGGAATTCTTTTTTTTTTCTTTTTAATTACCAGCAACACTAAGCAATACGGTCTAATGATTGAGTTGAAGAAACATATTATGAGTTTTATAAGATTTCGTATAAATACTTTTTTTTCCTAGTTGCCGTTTTACAAAACTGGTCATTTGAAACTTAATTTATGTACGGCTGGCAATAACTTATACAGTCAAATGAATTTTACTTAAAAAATATGGCGTTCTATATTCTAAATGGTTACTGATTTTTTCACTACATTTGCTTAATTTTCGTCAATATGGATAAGAAAAAATACGAATAACTATATATATGGAATATATGGAATATGAGTTCTGTTGCTGTAGCAATGCCGCACGAATGGCTCACTACATTAATGACGTGTAGGTACGGAATAACACTACAAACGAACGCACGACTTTTTATTGGCTTGAAGCTTCTGATATTGCAATGCTGTTCTTAAAAATGAGCCCCGTGGTCGCTTAAATACTAAAGATCACAACAACAAATTAATGGTGATAGTGAAAGCTAACGATACTCAATCTACCGATAAATACATTTGCGTCAAATTGACAAGTTAAAAAACTTAAATAAGTTGGTGGTGCACGAATTGAACTATCGCCTTAAGCATTTTTAAAGATTACGACTATTTGAATTTTTTTTAACTGCCTAAATAATAATTAAAACGACTTTTATTCTTTAATTATGGAGGGTAGAAGTAAGGAGCACTATCTTGTACAGGGGACAAGTTGAAAAAGTGTCCACCTGTATACAGCTAGTTATTGTTGGAAGACTCACCGAAATAACGTTAGTGTAGGAAGTGAAAATGATATGAATATAGCTGGATTGAAGTGAATTGAGGTAGTTTATGGTGCTGTTTTAAAAATCATTCCACTTGCTACTACGGTGCCACCGTAATTGTATCTCTTTCAGCGGACACTTTTTAATACACTGATTTTTTTAAAGGGAGTTTATGACCTGGTTACTGAGACCTTTAAGTCATGTCTTATTTTAATTTATATTCTTATTTTTATGAAAAATGATATTATGAAATGAAATGAAGATGATTAATTTGAGACGTTAATCAACTGGGATGAACTTAAATGAAATGAGATGAGATGATATGGGATGAAAAATAATCTCAGTAAAATGGTGGTTATTTACTGAGATTTTCTCAGTGGACTTTTTGGAGAATCTCCAGAAGTTACGCCCAGCGGCTTTGTTTCATTTTCCCACATTTGTTCACTTTCACAGATATTAAACAATTAATAAACCACTGTTATTACACATTTACACCTGAAGAAACACGAAATAGACAAAATAAAACAAATCACACAACTTCACTCCTCGTGTTCCCGCCAAAAAGTCTTAATACACTGAGATGATGATTCTCACTTCTACTCTTCATAGGTTTAATCTCGGCATTTTTAAGTTATATCCATGAACATTAAAATGGTAAAGTATCCAAATGTTGGAAACAATGTAATGACAATAAAAAAAACGCCAGATTAAATAAACCGTTAAAGTACTTTTAATTGTACGTGCGACTCGTGAAAAGTGAAGAAAATACGACTCCTACATAATTTTACAGATTTGTGCAAGATAAAAAGCAGATCAGAGCCCAGCTGGAGGCGGAAAAGCGCGAAGAACAATTTCTGAAACAGTCACTCCATGAAAAAGGAAAACTTATAATCGAAATGAAAACCTCCTTGCAGCAAATTAACGAACTCCTCTCGAATGTTGGTAAGTTTTATTTGTTGTTTTTTTTTAATGTTACAATTTATTTTTAGTTTAATATTATCATTTTAATTGTTATTTTTTTATTTATTAATAGTAAATTATGTTGTCGGAAATAACGAAAATGGGACACGGTATTTTTTTTAATTGTATTAATTATTATATTATAAAAAAAGACCCTTCCAAAATTTGACCTATCATATTAATTTTGGAATTAATGCTCAGCAAAGCCGTTATACAAGCTCAGACTAAAGCTGATGACATCTGAGAACAAAATGTGCGATAGGCGTATCTCTAGAGAAATCTACATATGAATAGGCAAAGATAGTTTGGTAATATTTTCTTCTCTGTTTGTCAATCGATTTTTTTAACATACTTGAAAATATGTTGTAATATAAAAGAAATATTTTCATCAATACACAAAATCCATCTCAATGTTTAGAAAACACATATATCCGACCATAAGGCTATTTAAAATAAAAGTTAAATAATAATATGTAATGTCACCGATGTTTTTTACATACAATATGAGTTCAATGACATATCCGTACTATGGTTTTTTCAACCACGACTCATAAAATATCGAATACGGCGAAAACGTTAGCAATGAAATGTAAATTAACTTAAAGACGATTCAATTAGTCTTTTACAAATCAAATGAAACTATTTAGTATCACTTGTTTCATTCAAACGAAATTACAAGATCGTGACTTGCACGTGCTAATTTAAAATTCGACTCACGTTACGATTGTCAGTTGACAAACGAACGTATCATCTCTGTATGCTGTAAATTGTCTCGATTTTCAGGGTGAATTTGCCACAATGTCCGCTTATACTTAATACATTAAATAGGGATAGAAAACTCAAAATATTTTAACGTCTATGTCGAATTACAGGCTATATAGTAAAGGAGTGCTATCAGCGAAGCTTATTCACTCGCCAACTCATTTATTGTTCGTGATATCGATAGTCATTTAACAAATTTTAGCGATCAAAAAGTTAATCAATAAATCATATAAGCAATAAATAAAAAATATGAAAAAAGTTATCTCCAGCATCAGTTTTACTCCTAGACTTAGTATACCTTGTTTGGAGGTCGCTCACAATTGTTATATTCCAAAATAACAATCAACTGCATGGATTGTGTCAAAGTGTTAACACTTGTAAACATCTGATACTGTACATGGCAATTTTTAAGCGCAGTGAAATAATCAAAATCAATTGAGCTTCAACGTAAAGTTTGTTCAAAGTTGAGCTGAAAATGAACTCAAGTGAATTATTCGCATTCTCAGTCAGATATAACAAGTTGTAGTCGCGCATTCGGTACACTCAGATTGGATTTAACAGTAGAACAGTTTCTTGAACCCCTTAAAAGTTAAGGGTCGATTCGTGGATCCGACCGTATGTATGCACTCATCGGTTCGGTCATGTACTAATTAGTGGAAAACTTTGTCAATTACTGTCTCGCGTATACAAGAAAATAAGTTATTATTACTTTCAAGAACAAGCAATAAGCCATTTAATTTTTGTTACAAGAAGATATGTTTTTTCGGCTATTTAATTGAAAAAAAATACAGTACAGTATAGTACTGTGGCGGGTAGCCATCATACAACGCAAGATAATTGACAGATGCCTGAATCTCGCTTACGACATTTTCAAGATAAAGCGCATATATACAAGTTTCGAACAACAACATTCGGACCGTCGCGTCGGTCTACCGAGCAAATATCACCCGCTCGGTGGAAGATCTTTCCTTTCGTCGTTAAGACTCCCAAATTGGTGACCTGCGACGTGATGTGAACACGCAACCTTCTGATTCATCATCAGCGCATCAAGAACTTCGGCTACCACAATCCCCGCATTCTCGCAGATAAAAGCACGTCATTGACAGTCGTCCCACAGCAAGCCAGCATCGCAGCCTCAACAGGACCATCGCAGCCGACTCACCGCGCTTCCTGGTCCTACGGCACGCAACTTCACTGCCTATCACGCCGCTACAGTTCATCACAGCCCACGACCGGATCATCAACGCTTGGGGTCACACATCTCCGGCGTGGCAGATCTGCATCACATGGACTACGCACGACACGCACGCAACATTCAAGCTCAGTCTCGACTCACCGCAGACTTCGAGCAGCACTGGCGACACGCACGCAGCATTCAAGCTCAGTTTCGACTCACCGCAAACTTCGAGCAGCACTGGCGACAATCACGCAGCATTCAGCTCAGTTTCGACTCACTGCAAACTTCGAGCAGCACTGGCGACACGCACGCAGCGTTCAAGCTCAGCCTCGACTCACCACAGGCTTCGAGCAGCACTGGCCCTTGCAAGCTAATCTCAGCACGGACAACGCTAACTAAAAATGACACGACCTCCAGTCTCGGAGGGGAGTGATGTGGCGGGTAGCCATCATACAACGCAAGATAATTGACAGATGCCTGAATCTCGCTTACGACATTTTCAAGATAAAGCGCATATATACAAGTTCCGAACAACAACATTCGGACCGTCGGTCTACCGAGAAAATATCACCCGCTCGGTGGAAGATCTTTCCTTTCGTCGTAAACTCCCCAAAGTACCCAGAAAGTAAAGCGTTTTTATAAATTTCTAGAATTATATTTTACCTTAAACTAACGTCCATGAATATAGCACGGAAGAGAACTATTTCATGAAATTAAATTATTACGTAAAAGAGTTGAAAGCTTTAGTGTTCGAAGCAAAAAAAATTTCCAGAAATGTTTTACAATATTTGGCTGGACTTTTTCATCATCATCTTTAGCCCATATTTATCCACTGCTGGACATAGATCTCTCTTAATTAACGCCACGGAGCCCAGTTTTCAGCTCTCCTCGTGTATTTCTTATCCGCCACCCTTCGCAAAACATCGCTCCACCTGGCCGAGTGGCTTCCCACCTAAATGCGTCTGGTTTTGTTTGTTTTACTTTTATTTTCATAAATTCATAAAATTTCCTTGACAAAAGTAAAAAATGGAGTTGTGTTTAAATGTTTAAAGTTTCATAATTATGAATCTTTTAGAAATACAAAAATTTGCATTCTATATATTCACTAATTAATAAATAATTATCCAATTAAAAGTACATTTACGGTTTCATCTCGTGTTTTTTATTGTCTATATATTATTTCTGACTTTCGCATACTTTCGAATACTCTACAATTTTCAAGATCACTAACGACTAAGGTATTATTCGTCGACATTTGACAATGATAATAAAAATGACATTAAAAAAAACGCGAGACTAAATCGTAACAGTAGTTCTAAATTAAAGATGCAATTTCAAAAAGGGCACATCTCCGAAAATGTAAAATTTACAGGAAATGATAAAAACTGATTATTTTCTAAAGCAGTGTAAAAAAATATTAACTTTTGAGATATATTTTAGTGTTAATTAGCAATTGAAAATTACTCGAATTGTTATAAAATGGGTGTAGGTAAGCCTCAAAACTACATGTATATGAAAAAACGTATTTGACAAAATATGCGACGTGCCCTTTTCGAAATTGCATATTCAACTATATTAAACAATTATTTATCAATTAACCTATTAGTATGATCGTTAGGGTATAATACCCGGAGACAGATTATTTGGCAAACAATATCTTTAGTGTCATTTTTCAGGGATAAAAAGAGGAAGTATATTTTTATGGAAAAAATGCAGATCGCGTTTTCTTTTAAGATGTGCCACTAAGGCCTCATCAAGTTCCTATTCTAGCTGTGGCTTGTCGAAGCCTTATCGTATTGGTTTACCTCGCTCTCCCCCTAATCTAGATTTATGGTGGAGCGTGTTGTGCTCACAGCTGGTTGGAATCTTCCTAACTTAATACCCTAATCACTAATGTTATTAAAAATCAATTTAGAGCTCACCGTTCAACATAAATATCCGTTGTAAAATTGGTGGGAGTCCTTTTTTTTATTGCGTAGATGGGTGGACGATCTCACAGCCCACCTGGTTTTAAGTGGTTACTGGAGCCCATAGACATCTACAACGTAAATGCGCCACCCACCTTGAGATATAAGTTCTAAGGGTCTCAGTATAGTTACAACGGCTGCCCCACCCTTCAAACCGAAACGCATTACTGCTTCACGGCAGAAATAGGCAGGGTGGTGGTACCTACCCGCGCGGACTCACAAGAGGTCCTACCACCAGTAAAATTTAAAATGTTCTTCTATGCTATCGACAAAGTACAATTCCACCCCCCCTGGCTGAACATTTGCAACTGGAAAGGTTTCCGGGCCACCAGTAATCCTTCAATCATAAAAAAAAGAAGTATAAAACTATTTGATATTGTGAAATGTATGTGAAGTCACTTTATGTAATGAGATGGGCGACACTGTAAGCTCTTTGGTCTGCATTAACCAATTGTTTTTCGTCATAAAAACTCTCGAATTGACGTTACCTTTTGAATTGATGAATAATACGAATTATTTTTTGTTAAACCGAATTTCGTTAAGCCACTCGATTTATATTGGAATCGTAGTTTATAAGTTTGGTTTTTAAACAAATATTCGCAAACCGAATACGAACTGGTTTAGAGATCGCTTATGTCTCAGACCAGATAACAGTGTTTTTAAATACATAGTGTGAGCTATCGTGCCTTAAACTAAATATAGTTGTTGCAAAATGCGACTGCGCGCCGCCCTTAGTTGTGTGAGTGACCAATCTGTATACGCGTCAATGTAGGCTATATGTAGCTACTGACCGCTCCGTTGGGTACACACATTAACGAAAATGTATATTTACGATTACAACTACAAATAAAAGCCCGCTCAAACTTTTCAACAACTATATGAGATATTGTCGTAGCCGCGACCCAAAGTTGGGGCGCCCGGTGTACTGGTATTGAGAGATGCGACTATGCGACAGTTCAAGTTTTGCACGCAGGGACTAATTTTTCTAATGAAATACTTAGCTCATGTTCACGAATGACTTCCACGATGAAGGAGTAGCATCGTATAATGAAAATCAAACACGCAAAAATTATAGTAATTACATACAATAGAGACATAGATCTTGAGTCTTAAGGCTAGTACCGCAATTCGCGTCGCGATGCCCAATGGGCTTCGGGCTTCTAACCACTTCAAACCAGATGTGTTTTGAACGCGTTCACCTGCCTACGCAAAATAAATGAGAAATCATGCTCTTTTTCAAGTCACTTATATGAAATGTTGATTATTGACATCATATCAAAAATACTTAAATAATTTTGGAAATCGTTAACTTCTGTAGTGTGGTTTTGTTCATTTGTCACGTTGGTAAATTTAAATAAAAATATTTATAATTGAAAACTGTATTAATTTTTTACGTACTTTTACTTTTTTTTTTTTTTTTACTGTTCCCATAAAGTGCTAAGGACTTTAATGCGAAATAAAATGTAATACTTTATTGTGAAATATGGGTGACAGCCCTCCTCGTGAACTCGAAGTCGTTGAAGAAATTCAATTCGTGCCAGTAAATTCAAAGAGTTACTCAAATTAAATCAGTGGATTCGGAATTCAACAAATTCTGAAGAGGCAACCTTAAAAGTATGTTTCAAAGTACACAATTGAATCCACGTGCATAAAAAATGTTCGAACTTTGTCTTATTTTCAACAATACCTTATAAAGTAGATATTATTTGTATATATATATATATATATATGTCGGAGAAATCACAAATATTAACACCATCGTCAGATATCATAGGGGCGAATAGGGTGATCGAGCTAAGAGAAATATTGAGTACACCAATCACGTTTGTTGTCTTAGAACAATTTAGAAATCTTCTCTTGACGTCAGCAAACGAAAACGAATGACAATTCTTAGGACGGAGGCACCACTCTTCAAGAAGGCTGGTTGGTAATTGTGATGGCGTCTACGCGCCTCCACCGGCTAGGCTCTGTCGTAGCACGAAGTTAGCCGAGTTTCGATGATACCGTAATCGTGCTGCCATCTCTCGGGAATCATGCTGCATTTCATTTAGCTACCAAACTAATGACCGTCTCCGACATATCAAAAAATAAGTCAGACCCGATCCTGTAGACCGAATGGTAACAGTCGATGTCGCCCTAAGCACGTCATTACGGATTCTCCCGATCCATTAACGGTGCTTTTAGGTACCTACTGCAAGCACAGGTCACCGTCCTCGTCAAATCCATCGCTTGCGACGAAGGGCTCGACGAGTGAATTAACCCATACACACAGCCCACTGAGTTTCTCGCCGGACCTTTTCAGTGGTCGCGTTTCCGGTCCGGTGGTAGATTCTGCGAAGCACTGCTTCGCTAGGGCCAGTGTCAGCAACACTTCTGGTTTGAGCCCCGTGAGCTCACCTAAATGTTAGGGTGAAGCTGAAATAGCCTCTCAAGGCTATCAGCATAAGTAGAAAAGAAAAAAAAAATCGATAATAAAACTTTTTAAACTCAAAAATTCGCATTTTTAGTTTGTTTATATGTTTGGTTCGGTGTAGTCTCTGGACGGACTGAGCCAATGGTGACGGAATTCTAATTGACAAATTGAACTCATTATCAATGTTTTTGATCATGGGCAATGACGTACAATCGGGTGAGCTGCAGATAAAACTATGTCATGGATATAGAGTTGTAAATCTAAAAAAACACTTTTCGAGTATGATCTGAAAGAAAATCGAAACACCTCGATACGCTATTCAGGATTTTCGAAAAATAAATCTATGATTTCCTAAAATTTTATTACCTTATCCACAAATTCTAATCAGGGTGACAGGTAATATATGTAACCTTGACTTATAGAAAATTTTGAAAATACTCAACAAAGAAAACTGATTACATTCGATTAATTTTAATCTTCATAATTTATGGCGAGTGAAATCGCGCGCTCACCAGTTGTTTTCAATCCTTTACACAAATCACGTTTCTTGGGTTAGGAAAATAATCAAAATTTATGGATCGAGTTCGTATCACGTGTGCTTCTTAGAAATCTGCACTTGTGAAATTTATCACAATGATCACATTTCTCCGCTCTTTTTCAAAGTTTTATTTAACGGTACTTTTGTTTGCTATTCTCTCAGATTTATTTGTGTTGTGAACGTGATTGAAACACTGACTACGAATATTATTACAAATTCTTTTATTTACATAGGTGCGGCTAACGCTCAGAAGCCTCCTACGGATGTACCTCAAGCGATCCAGTATGCATTGGAGGAAATGGTTCAACCAGTTCCAGAACTCGAGGCCGATTGTAAGTACATATAATTGCGTATGACCTTTTTAATATTAGTATTTTCTTAAATGTTCTCGAGTTATGGAATCGCTGATAAATACTTTTTATAGATAATTAAAAGATGGTGAATTTTCATCAATCTTTAGAAACACGACCGGTCTGAGATAATTTGGTCAGTCAATTTAACGTTCATTACTTTTTGCCCTCAGCTCGCGTTACGTATGATATTCCGTCATAAACTCACTTTACACGAATTACTCAAACATAATAATTATCTAAGCTCAAAGGCGCGGGCAAATGCACGTACAGTCCAATATAAAAATGAAACCAATCCAAATTAAATAGTTCGTGTAAAATTTTATTCGCATCAGCACGAAACACGCTTGTTTTTGTTTTATGAACGTAAATAATGGGCTCAAAGCTAGCATGGACGCCATAAACATCCAACGGAACATGAAATACGGCTCTCCCACACCGAAGGTTCTAATCTTAATACTTCACGACTGAAATAGCCTAGCCTGTGATGACGACAAGGTCTAGATTACCCTCGCTAATGAATCAGTAATATCAGTAGCTTTTCTACTGCTAAGCCACAGTATATGTCATAAGAGTATCACCACCTTTGTATCTTGTTAATCGACGCTTCGGTCCGAGTCGATGAGCGGTTTCCAGTCCCGGGTATTTTCCACTAGCCATTAACCACGAGTCGCTATAATATTTAGCGTCGATCGTTTAAATGTACCCATTGTTGCGACAAAACTGAGACAAAACAGTTATGTCTATGTGCTCCGGTATCTAAATAACATTTTAATAGAGCTAAATACCCAAAAAAGTCTGTCTACCATGTGCCAAAAACGTGTTATAAGCTTCTTTGGACACATTATCCGGTCTTCGAGACATGAATTAGAGAAGCTCATAATTTTGGGTCGCATAGAAGCCAGGTGCGCCGTGGGAGGACACCAACCAGATGGTCAGATCTGATTAAGAAAACGATTAGTGGCAGTCTATGCCACGCGGTTCATGCCATCCATGACCGAACACTATGGAGGAAAGCCACATGTGGTCGCGATCCTCAGCAATGAGAGAACGATGAAGAAAAAGATCTGAATAAACCAAGAGGAGGTTTATCGATTAAATGCAATACTAAGTACTAATACTTAGTTACACAGTTTAACTGTATTACAAAAAAAGACAATACATTTACATTTGATTTTGGAATCTGTTCTCGTATGAATATTCATTGTGGTTTCCCATTTTCGGACCAATCTATTTAAATGTACTTGTGATATTAAATGGATTGGTGCGGCAAAGTGTATCGGATTGCTGTAGTCATTACTTTGTGTAATATAGGTATGGGGTCAAATGCAATATTTTAATCGATAACTAGTCACAAAGCTTAAGGATTAAATTAAAACCGTACTCATATAAATTATATAAACTAATGCTCATTGGAGTAATACATATTTCGTATAATGAAAACACGACGATTTTCACTTATAACAATATTTATGGCAATAATAATTAGTATTGGTATTGTTAATAAAAAAATTAAACACAAAAAAACTAACAATAATAATAACAATGATAATTCTAGTGTTGTAATAATTGTACTATATAGTACTATTTATTACCGTAATCTTCACTGCTGTGAATTTTTCCGTAAGAACAAATACAGAAGACAAATTTTCTACGCGCAAAGCAATAAGCAGCTCTGACGCCTAACTGAGTGCACAAATTAATTTTCATCTGAGATGTTTCCCGCCGACTACACTGGCCGACGACCAGTGTAGTCGGCGGGAAACATATCTGAAATATTAAATTATGTTTTAATAAGCCGACGAGATTGCGTTCTTGATCGACAGCTTGTAAAAAGAAATGTAAAATAATTTTATTCACGGTGGAGCATAATTTGAGCCCGACTTGTTTGATGGGTAAAATATTTCTAGCGTCGAAGGAAGTAATTTTTAATTGCCACTATTTAGTTTCATCTTTAAAAAAATACGGTATGTCTTTTTTTTTTATTGCCCTTGTAGGCAGGCGAGCATACGGCCCACCTGATGGTGAGTGGTTACCGTCGCCCATGGACTTCAGCAATGCCAGGGGCAGAGCCAAGCCGCTGTCTTTTTTGCAATATTGGTACGTTTAAAATTCGTTAACCGCCGTTGATTCTACAGAAGCATTCAAATGCAATTCTAATTATTTAAAATAAGGATGTGAAGTTTTGCTTTTTAACTAGCGTTCTTAGAAAATAACTTTTTCAATAATAGAAACTAAACAAAGGAAATGGAAAACAGTTTGAAAAATAGAGGAGAAACACTATTGAACTGCCTATTTCTATACCCAACATACACGTAATATAGTTGTAGAGATACATACTTATAAGTTGGAAATGTGAACTAAGTTTTATAACCGTTTCAAAATCGATTTTAAAAGAGTAATTGAATTGAATGGAAGAATTGAATTCAGTGATAAGCACTTACTTTATAAATGCGAAGTTATGCCGGAATTTTTATGGAACAAAGAGTGTGTCTGAAATTAGTTTCATTCTAGGGGTGACTGGGATAATCGCTAACGTTTGGAGGGCCGTGAGATTTTGCACTAACTTAATTGTTTAAAAACATTGCGGTACATTATAATTTTTTGGAAGGGGGATCACTGTTGGCCCAGAAGCCTTTACAACTTTACCATGAGTGGTTGGGCATAGGCTCAACCATGATCTCCTATTAAAAAGGCGGAAATGATTTACCGTGATTGAATTACTATTAAGTTACTTTAAGTATATTTTTGTGTAAGAATGACAATTGTATATCAGTTAAACAAGAAATAAAACTGGTAGACTCGATTCCATAACTGGGTTTACCTTGACGTTCAGAAGGCTAAGTGGGTAAGTCATGACTAGCTCTCACGAAATCGGAGACAAAATGAAAATGTCCCCAAATGGTTTTGAATTACCCTTCGTAAAGCAAATCCTTATTCAGTCTTTTGTTGAATGTAATTCCCCAAACAATCCGTTCAAGTTTCCTTGCGGTGACTCAAGAGTAATACACAAAACGTTCTGGGTTTTGAATGAAAAAAATCATATTAAGGCCGTACAATACAAATTATGGGATAATTATAAAATCCAAATATCCAACAATCGAAAATGCGACTATTGTTTGAACAATATTATTTGTAAAATATAGATCAATACTGTTTTTAAGCTATTGCATAGCTTTTATCGCGGGGACCGAATCAAGAAATTCCGTAACGAAAAAAACCTAACATCACACTCCGACTACCATGTAGCTCGGGCTCAACACATTCACACGTTGCACTTGTGTAGTGTTTGTGAATAAGCGCGCGGCGTGACGTCGCACTGCATGCGCATCATGAAAAGTCTGCCCATCTCTCTCTCGCGCGGTCTAGCTTATGAGTGTGAAGGGGACAGTAAATGTTTTGCTTTTGTTAATATTTATAAATATAGCTTGGCCTTATAATTGTTTTAACATTAAATTATTATTAACTAATTATAATTGCATAAGTTGATAAAAAATGCTATGCAATAGCTTTACCGCGGCAGTTCCCGAGTGCCACACGTATTTTTTTTTAATTGTTCCGTTCAATGAAATAATAATTGTCTCTGATATTTGATGTCTAACTTTTGAATAACTTGATAAAAAAATAAATTTAATGGGAAATAATTCTTGTAAGCTTAAAAAATTTAAAGTCATTTATTTCAAAATCGTAAATAAATAAAATTTGCTTACGAAAAACCATTTCAACATAAAGGAATAATAATAAAATCTCAAAGTTAGAAATGTGAGCATTTTAAAGATGCAACAATTGTTGTACTGGTACTAACATTTTGCCAATGTCGACCGAGAAACATCTTTTAAATCAAGCTACTCAATTCTAAGCGCTATATTTACCATGGATCACTAATACATTCCAATCATTCATGTTTATCCCTTCATCGAATTTTTCTTTGACAGTTGACAAATTAATCTTGAACGCGAAGCAGAAACTGGGCGTGCTAATCCAAGCGGTTTCAAAGATGGAGGTAACTCCTGAAATTCGGGCCGATGCGAACCTGTTCTATCACAATATCCTCGCGCGGTCTATGAAGGAGAACTACAGGGATGAACAGGTCGCCGAAGGAGGTCGGTGTTATATTTTTTTTTCATTTTTGAAATAAACTTACCATTAGAATTGTGTAAAAAAAAAAAATCAGCAAAACCTTCTGCAATTTCTCTAGGACCGGTAAAATAAATAAACGACAAAATAAATTTAGGGGCGCTACGTATTATTACGCTGTGGGTACACGAGTTCTATATAAGCTTTGTAGAGTTAGTTTTAAAATGTCAAAAGTTCAACATTATAACGGACTGTCTTGACCGATAATAGTCACTTTGTATCACTTCAGGCAGCTGCACTTGATGTTCCGTTTCTTTTCTTCTTTTTGGGCCGGGGCCAAACCTCCTACGAGGTCGCCGCGCTAAAGCGGCGCGCGGTGTATGTGGGACTTGATGATCTGCAGATGTTGGGAGCAGACCACGGACCCAAGAAGTTTTAGGGCCCTACCGCACTAAACGACTCCCCTCTCACTCTTACACGTGACGTCCGATCTCTACATATATTAAGTCATCGTATCCTAAATGATAAGACGCACCGTGTACTCGTGCGATGCGATGAAATTGTGTAATTAAAGAAAAGGCTCCAAAAATATAATTTGGCTAATTATATATGATAGATTTCTCGCGAGCCAGCACAAGTATGTCACACTACACATCCTACCCAATCCTACTTCGAGAGTTTCGGTTGGAAGGGTAGGAAGACAAATTATAGTCTATACAAAGGAAATCTATACACGTCATGTTTCAAGATGGGTTGGCGACATTCTTTTTTTTTCTTTTTGTTTTTATTGATAACTATGGGGTTCGGTAACCATTTAACACCTAAAAAAATAGTCTATGCAATAAATAAATCAAAGTATAACCGGTCAACCTTACAAACTTTTTTGTTCGCGAGCTACCTACACATGTAAGTGAGTAACAAGCTAAAACTTATTTAACTTCTCATGTGATGTTCTGCTTTAACGCTATACGTAGGATTTATTGGAACGTCAGATCAGCTTAGAAATCATAATATATGTGATAGAACTAGGAGTTTTCTTCGAATAGATATTGTGACAGAATTCACGCCAATTTTCGTAACAAGCTGACACGTTTCAATGAACCTACATATTTCAAAATAAGAATGCAGTTCTACACGCTGACTAATGGTTCATTTTCAACCATTATATCTTCACGGTTGTTTCGTACTGAAACAGATTTTCGTGTTTCTATATTTTTATTAATATCGAGTATTAGGCAATACATCTTCAAGACAACACAAATCTTAACCTATGTGCAGTAAGGTTCGATCTCGCCTGTGGACGGCCGGCTAGCCAACCAGAAGCTTGCTGAGCAACCCCTCCAAGCCTACGGGCTGAGATCTCCGTCATATAGTAACTTAACACACGCGTTCCGCGGCAGACATTCTTTATTACAAACAACAAAAATTACCCAACGCAAGTCACGCGTAACCATTAGAACCAGCGACAATTGTTCATCGTGTACCAATCAAGGGACAGACGGTCCCACCTCCGGAAACGACGCTGAGCCCAGGGAGCGCGAGGCAGTGGAAGGAAGGTGAACCGGTAAGTCTTCAGACTTATTTCGTTCCTTACTGTACAACGGTAATAATCGATTTTGCATCGACAATTCAAATTTTCTTATATCATCATGGACGGTCGTAAACATATATTATGTTAGTTTATGATTATCGTTCAAAAATCTTAAGGGTACTAGGTTGTTTTGCGAGAATCATTACTATCACTCTGACATTTGGGAATACAACTGAAACATTGATCTCATATATCAGAGTGGGTGCCTGCAGACTACGGTAACCCAATCGGCCGAATACAGTGATGTAAATATGTATGTACGTAAGTATTACTCCGAAAATTTGTGAGTAGTGAAAAGAAAGGCATCTTGTGTTGCTTACAACAGAACTCATAGTTAGAGAAGACTGCAAACAATTTCTCACGAAAAACGGGATACCTGATTAAACCATTTTATATATTTATGATCTTTTAACTCTCTATACTCTATTTTATGATATTTTGTTGATTTTTTTATATTCATTCGGTCTCTTCGTTTAAAAATTTAAACTCGTGACTCGAAGTTTTTTATTTCTTCTAATTGAGCTAAAAAAGAATATTTTATTGGTATTTCTATACACAGAAGCTGGTTTGTTGGTCGGTGTAGAAAAAAATATCCCTCGTGAATAGTACTATTTTTCTGGACGATAAGTAGGTACCAAACGTCCTGTTCTGTACTCATGACAATGTGTATGCAAAATTTCATTGAAACCGCTGGAGTAGCTACGACGTAATATCGTAATAAACGAACAAACTCGCTTTTACGTTTATTCGCAATATTGACTACGTTTAATAATTGAGGCGCCCAATGCAACCTGAGACTATCAGCGTGTATCGATTTTGTGTGAGTTGTATGTACATTGTGTGTATTGCGAATCGACTGGATTCGCTTTTTTTATCATTGAAGAATTAATAAAGACGTTTTCGGTTCATAGACGGCTTCATGTGATGCATCCAAACATTTAATTGTAATCGGATTTGCTATTATTTTTGTTTGATCCACTATTTTATTTAATCTGCATGTCAGATGACATCGCTTTATTAAAGTAATATAGTCGTTGTTTGCAATGCAATTGTCTTTGAATTGTTGAACAGACATAACAAATAACCTCATTTGAAATTTTCGCTATTATTCTTAACACGAGAACAGTTGCAAATTGGAGCGAGTACCTACTCTTCTTGGACCCACATTTTCAATTTGGTTGAAAGTTAAATAGTTTCGAGTGTAACATGAAGCCTTTACTCATACTAGTGATCCCTTGGTAGTCGAAATTTGACTATAACTAATGGAAATTATAATTTGGTACACTATTATGATTCTATTGTCAAGGACCATTTTAAACTTCTTTAATCACAGATTTCGTCAAAACTACACTTTAGACAAATATGAATAAAGAAAAAACAATATTTAATCTATTCTCAATTTGACAGACTATAACTGACAGACTGCAAAGAAAAATTTGACAATAAACAAATAGTATGCATGCGTGTGTGTGTGTCAAATACATGGTAATGTGTGTAATGTTTTCTTTATTAATTTAATGTATCTTTTATGCATTATTTTAAGAAAATATTAGCATTGTGCACTTCTTCTCTATAATAATCTCTATAAGTGTGGAAAATTTCATACTCCTCCGTCCGCGCAATTTTCGTAAAAAGGGATACACAGTTTTTGCTTCACGTATTCATATATAGATTAACTCATATTTTAGTTAAATTGCTTTCTCGACGGCTATGGTGAACTAAAAAAAGCCTTTGAATTCCGTCGAGCAAACCGTAGCGTGAAATGTAAAGCAAAAATAAAGTGTTGAACTTTTTTGGCGGCGAACAATGAAGTTGCGTCCGTACCGTGCAAAAACAATTTTTAATTAATACGCTATGCCGCCTTTGAATGCACCCACTCGTGTATGTATCGTGATTTCAACATGAATTTTCACACAACGAAAAGTGAACTGTTGTCTGGGCAGTCCATTAAATTGATGCGTTCTTTTCACTCAAACGGGCATATACCAATAATGAATTGGTCACGTTTCACTTTGACATGTTTTTTGTCATTTTGATTTATTCTTCTCGCAATAGTTATGATTTAAGTCCTTATAAATTGATGCTCGTATTTTTTTTTATCCATCAAGATATGCATAAATGGTATCGATGCCTCTCTGTCAGTGCAATCAATTTGACGCAAATGGACCAATATGTTTTAATGCCAACTCCTATCTTCTTATGCTTCCACTATCACCACCATTAACTCGCTACGGAACTTGCATTCCATAATTACTCGTATTTTTATCGTGTCCATAATTATGAAAAAGATACAAATAGTGAAAACAAAACACTAATCAATAAAAAAATCACTGAATTTGAAAATTGGCTTCCATATTTTTCAAATAAAATTTATTTTAATCTAGAATTTATTGTCAGCCACGTATAAATAATGTTCATATGGCCAGTATTGTAAAACAACAACTTCATAGGCCAAACCTCTTATAATAATGTATCATGTATGTAGTAGATCTGAGCATTTCGGCTGTTTTTCTTAAGTAGGTGTAATACCGGTGATGTTAAGGAAAATAAACAATTTAAATATGATATTTTTATTAATTAAAAGTAGTTAACTGGAACACTCAGTTTACTTATTAAACTATCATTTGGCATATTATATAATTTGGTGAGATAGATAGTTAATTAAATAAAAATAAATATAAAAAATGAAACCCATAACAAAACTCCATCATGCTTCAGGGTATGTATTCATTTTGGAATATATACAATAAACAAAACAATAACCGGCCGTTATAGTTATTTTGTCCAAAAAAACGAAATTGGCCCAAAAACTTATCCCTTTGTATGTGTTTTCATATTCACTCAAAATTAGATTTAATAATTATGAAAATATTTTTTTGTTGTAAAAATGACGCGCCCAATCTACATAGTTGCCTGACATTGCCAGACTAAAGATTGGTGCAAAATGGCCGCTTATTAACGCCGATAATACACTTCTATTATGTGTAGTAACTTGGATCTGTTTGTGACCCCGTTGTGACCCACGTCCCGCGTTATGTTGCCCTTCTCTGTGTATTTCTTAAGAAAAAAATCTGTTTGCCGACTATAACATCGGCATAGAATGGAATACGGGTAATTTTGATACTTTATGTCACGAATTCAGTATATTTAATACTATATGGGCCATAAGGCGTATCTAACCAGGTAGTGCAGTAAAATAAACTTTACAACAGCGACAGTTCAGAGAGCTTGTGATTAGCTTTAACATTACGTAACAATCTCCCCCTTTCTTTTTGTTAATCTATGACTTCCATAAATTAATATAAAAGCATTTAACGCAAGTATTAATGTATACAATAATTTGTCTCTGCCCTCGCCGCTGTCACCATAGTTAGTTCCCTTCGTCAAACGCGACTTTCCAATGTCAGCTGTCATATAAACTTCAAGCAGCATTTA